GTAGAAAAAAGTTCTTTTAAAATGTAATAAATGTTTTTTTCGCAAGTCAGCTAGTATCTGCTCATATCATTTTATTTTATTTGCCTAAATAAATTTTCAAAAAATAGCTGTGTATTTGACTGTGCCTTAAAGTTTGCACAATTTTATACCCGTTAGTCGTAGAGTAAAAGGGATACTAGTTTCGTTGGAAAGTATGTAACAGTATGTAATTTACAGTAGGTAAATTTCTCGTTTGCACTTCCACTAGCTGAGTAACAGGTATCTGATAGTCGGGGAACTCGACTTTAGCATTATATCTTGTTTAAACTCATTCGCAGACTTCCTTCAGTTCTCCGCAGTTTTCCCGAACAGCTCCCCACAAAATGGAAGCCAATGGATGAAAAATCGTTCCACCCAATTGAGCACCAACTCAAATGGCAGCTCATCTGAGTTTCATTTCTGCCCCACTCCTTTCCCAATCCCCATTCCACTTCCTCGCCAGCTTTTTCTTTGACTCTCTGCCTCTTGGCGGCTGTTTTATGCAGAAGCAATTAACTCAACTTTTATTTTTCACCTTCACAGGTATTTCCATCCAAGACGGAATTTGCATAAAATCGCGAAGGCAGCGAAATGAAAACGGGATGTCCAATAGCTGACCCATTCCTTTCGGATTTTTATTGTTACTCCATTTCGCTAACGGCTTTGGTATGTTTGCCGAATTAACAATTTAGCACATTTTACGGTCGGAACGTGACATTTTGCTGCCTATGAGCAATCTGTTTTTAGAAGACTGTATCTGCATCCGAATCGCATCGCTAGCTTTTCCTGTCCGCCTAGGGTTTCCCGTTCTTTGCTGACCGCATTTGTCGCTTTCCACTTTCGAAAATCCACTTTGTTTTCGGGATAACAGCTGTTGCTTGGTATAACCTTTGTACGGTCTTTCCTGAGGTCCTGGGCATCTGGTCAATATTTGACTGACTTCGGAATGCGAATGCCTTAAACTCTTCAGAAGGCGACTGGAATTCACAACGAAGCGGTAGAGATGCCTAACTGCCCGGGCAAGTAATGAATACGTAGAATATGTTTACTAATTTAAAATGACACCCAAGAAAACCCAAATTTAACAAAAAGCTGCGTTCACTGAAAATATATTTTTTAGCTGCCACTCTTTTCCAGGACACGACACAATATTTATTTCAGAGCATACAAAATTCATAGGGCCTCAATGTTTTGGGTTTCAATAGGTGGAAGGTGGAAGCCCTCGCGAGGACTCGTCCACTCTGTCATTGTATTCGTGCCCGAGTACTTGTAACTGCGATTGTATGGGTGTTATTGTCTACGTGGCAAAACTTCCGCTGCGGTTTTGGCTGCTGCGGTGGTTTTGGCCGCTTCGGTGGCTGCGGCAGCCGGAAGCACCAAACACTTTCCGGTCACGCAGTCACAAGGACTCTCCGCTCCGCTCGCCAAAATGAAATAAAATGGAAAAGGGGGAAGAACACAAAGTCTCGAGCAGTCACTTAAGCTTAAGTGTTGTTGTGCGCCAACCATTTTGTGGCCACAACAATAACAATGGGGCCAACAATGGGGGCAACTCAATTTCTATGCGTAGCACAACGCGACTTTTCACAGGACGAAACTTTCGTCGAGGAGCAGCCACAAATTGTCGGGCGAGTGAAATTCGCCAGACCGCTTCTAGTTTAGCATTTGAAATGTGCCAAATAAGTTTTTAATTGAAAAGAACTAGCAGTCGAAGTCGATGGCCGCATTAAGTAAACAAATGGGGCACGAACTCTTCTACAACGAAGTGGTCATTGAAGCTTAAATAATAAGTGGGCAGCTAAAACTCTAAAGTTCCTTAATATATTCTGTTGATTGCCATGTAAGAAGGAAAAATCCTGTTTAAATTTCCCGGCAAACATGTGCACTTACTATAATCTGCGAGTAATGGCACGTGGCGACTGACTTCCCCTGACTTACGCACACAAATCATTATCGATTATAATCGAAGTCAGGTGTATAACGAGCGAATTCGATTTAATGCCCAGTCCATTAGTTAAACAGCCACGAAGCTGACCCTTCCTTTGTGTCCCGGTGTTAATAAGCCAAAAGTCAATGTGTTAAATGAGCTGTGGGGTGGATATCCTGGCGAGGAAATCGGGGGTCCTGTGAACTGCTAGAGCTGACTATGGTTCAGAGTCATGTGAAAATTCAATATAAGTCTGGCGGAGACAAAGGAGAACTTTTGCCGTTGAGGCGAGAGTCAACAGTTGAGCGAGGGTCGTTTACAAGGTTTAATTTGGGGGGATTATCAGAGAATTATATTGAAACCTCCCTGGATATTAGATAAAGTTCCATCTTAGGGTTTATTCCTGCACATTTCGGACATTACATAGGCTGGTTACTTCTTATATCCTTGCAGAAGGTATATTGATTTTAGTCAAAAATAGAGAAAATTTGCCTTTGGTTCATGTTTTTAATCGTAATGCAGTCTTGTCCGGTATACACCAGTTTGTAAACAATATATAATTTGGCATTTAATATTAATAAAATCGGACGACTTTATAATTTAGGTGCTATAATTTTAGCAAATAAATTGGTAATAAAAGAACAGAAACCATAGCTTCTTCGTTATTAACCATAAAGTGTTTTTTTTCGGTGCATCAGTTTCGGTTTTAAATAATATATATAATTATTACAAGGGTGTGTGTGTGAGCGTCGTTTCTGATTTTTTGTACTAATGCATCAAAATTATTAGCAAAGTGTTTGTTTTAGTAGCTATACCCGTAAAAATTCATTTAATGCTAATGCTCAGATAAAGATTTTCCGATATTCAACCCCGTGAACGTTTGCCATTTCTTATGCGCTTGTTGGTTATCGTTTTTATGCCCTTTTCTGCCATGTCCCACAACAAACAATGGGCTAAAATGTGATTTAGTTTATGCCGTTTTGACACGCTAGTACACATCCTCATTTCCTTTCTGCGCCTTGCCCTTCGAACTCGAAGGCAGGCAGGCAGTTATAATCTAAGGAATTGTTACCAAAATCCATTTGCCATATTGCCAGCTGCAAGAAGAGCTGGCTGAATAACTTGCACTCGAGTGCACTTTGCCTCCATCATGATCATCCTCATCGACGTCGATGTTTGGCATTCAATTCAATTAAGTGAGTTTAACTTTTGTGCAGAGGAGGGAGCAAGAAAAAGGCAAGGATAAAGTTGAAGTGCGAGAACAAAGGGAGCGCTTCTATGAGAAGTGGCAGTATCCGTTGTCTGCCTTATAATTGTTTCCATTTGTTCTCATCGAAGTTTTCCGATTCGTGGGTTATTTGACTTTTCCCACGACTTTCAGTTTGTGTTCCACTTTGAAACAATTATTTAGGTGAGAGTTGCCACGCTTACTAGGAATTTGCTACGGCTTCTACCAGTTGTTTAATACAAATCAATACTTTCAATCTTTCTATCAAGAATATTGCGAACCTCGCCTCGACTATGTTTAAATTAACAAAGACAACGTTCTGCTTTCACCACTTGTGTAAATTGTAGTGCAACAAATCCAACGCTGCAAGCTAAAAACTTTTAAGCATTATTTATAAAATTTCCGTTTCCCAAGGTCAACTTTAACGAGCGAGACTGCAGAGAACACTCCTTTATATTCGAAATAGTGTTCAAGTGAAAAAATTAAATATGGTTAGTTTTGAAGAAAATGTTGATTGTTGAGTACACGGATGCACCATAAGGAAAAACACTATTTTCCTGGTTATTCCTCGCCCGTTTCCCCGTAGTTCGTGGCAGACATCTGACCAATCCGAATGAATCCACCTTTTTAACGCACTTCCTTTGTCATCCGTGGCCCTTGGCTCTGGAATTCTTTCTGGAATTTCTCGGTGGGGCCGAGTCAATGTCGCTGCACTCTGTTGCATTTTATAAGCTGTACGTGTCAGCAATCACCCCGGGAAAACAGCACTTACCCTGACCGGGAATCCTGCTGGCCATGTGAGTCGTAGGCGCCATCGGTTTTTATTATAACCTATAAACGCACTTGGCGCATGCAAGTTTGTGTTTGTGCGGCCAACGGGGCGTATGGGCAATGCCATGTTGTGTAACAACTTAAAAAATCCGCAAATCGGCGTATTGTTTTCTGGGTTAATTGTTTCCTAATGAGCCTTGGAACGTCAGCAGCATTATTTTACTGACGTATAAATGCTTCTGTTATTTGACAGTTCTTGTCCATTAACTCATAAATTATTAAATACGCAACACAAATGCACAAAATTGATTTTGCGTTTGCAACTTAAGATCTCATTAAATGGAAAAAATATATATAAAAATAAAAATACCTACTTCGGGTGCCTGCATTTGAAAATATGCTGTTAAAGGCATATGGGTTAGACTCTATATTTTGAAATCAATAGTTGCAGAGAAACGGTTGAGCAACCCGGAACTTGAATAATTTATTGCGACACTGGATACCTGTGTTTATTCGACCTAAATCCAGCGCCAGCTAACCCGAAATCAAAGCCCTGTATTGCAGCTGAGGAGACCACCAGAACGTCCCACCACTTACCACATCCTTAATGCCGTGCATTTCGAGTCCTGCGGAGCAGCCGACACTTAGAGGGCTGCCGTGGATGTCTTTGTGGTACCGCTGGGTTGGTGGGAAATCAGCGTGGGTTTCCGGTGCCCCAGTCTTATAATTTATGCAATTGCAGCTTGCGAGGAGGGTCGCCACTCGACTGCCATGATGCAATTGTCAGCATTTGGCTTCGGTGGCACCGCAATCGCGAGTAATTGTGGAATGCCTCGGGGCACCAAACACACAAAGCAGAAAAAAAAATTAAAAAGGGAACAGGAGCTGAAAAACAACGTTGATGCTGATGTTTTGTGGCCTCAATTTGCTTAAACAGGCAATTAATATGCGCGGCAACGTTGTAAACAATGCCATCGGGGAATTTGCGGGATAAGCCCGCTCCAACCCTCTGACTAATGACCGAAATAAACACAGTTTTGTGCGGCTCTGCTTGGATTAGTTCAAGTTAATTTAATATACAACTCGGCTGACATTTCACTGTAAATTCCTGCAACCGCACTGTCAAACCGTCTCCATGCGACCGACCATGTAAATGGTGTTCTTATCCTTGATTACGAACACAAAACCGCGGTTGACATATAAGTCTCTATCGTCGAAGTCGTTGCTCACATCTATAGTCACTGGAATTAGAGTTTTGAAATCAGTTGTTCAGCTGTGACGAATCCTTTCAGGATTCTGAAGCTAACTTACTCAACAGCCGATTTTGATCCACATCCAATGAATTATACTGCTTAAAAATCGCGGCATTTGACTTAGATTCCTTGTCCCCGTTAGTAAACACATCCGTGATGCCCAAAGCTTTCAGGGCCGCATTAAGATCCATAGTTTCCTGGACTTTAAATTTTGGTAGGAAGAGATGCGTCGCCTCCCCTTTTCGCAACTTCATGTTCAAAAATTTGTCCAGGTTTTGCAGTACTTGCTGGGGTGTATAATGTGACCTTGGTAATAATACCAGCATTCCGATATCAGTGTTAGAGAATGGGACCATAACACCGCGACATTGATCCCCGCTGAAAAACTCCATCGGTGCTTCGATGTATATCATTTGGACCCTATAGACAAAGGTTCTTCTATTCGGCCGTATCCAGCGAAATGTCCTATTTGTCATCGCCTTTTCTCGGTGTTTCCACACACATGCAAATGACGTTCCTTGAACAGCCACAACTCGAGTGGTTTTGTCTATATCCTTTTTGCCAAATAGATTGTTTCCAGCATTGTCGATGGATTTATTTAACCACTTCTTGATCTCATTCGCTGAGCTGTGGCCGTCGGAGAACTTTATATTTTTCACATCAACGCCCAGATTTCCGCCTATTTTCATAATATTCTGCGATGCATTGTAATCATCGGCCAAATAAATTCGATTTGCCAACGTAAATTTTGCCTGAACAGCCTTTTCCCGAGCTTCTCCGAGTAAGGAGAAGATCTCCTCCTTACGAAATCCAGTTAATTCAAGGGCTCTTTCTATCTGGCTGTCCGTGATGTTATCCTTGCTCTGATAGAGCACTGCGAGAGCCTGGTGAATCGCAAATGGAGAAAACACAAAGTTCCGCGGCAATCGACCTCTGCTCAGTTGCTTTATCAACTTAACATCAAAATCACTCGCATGCAAATGATTGACTAGGAAGAGCAGGAAACAAATTAAAACGCGTTGAACCATTTCTGCTGTTAAAATGTAACTAATTTCTTCTGTATGCGGTCGATTTAAGAGAGGGGGAATTTCACTTTCATTAAAATGGTAATAGCTGTGAACCACATTGTATACGTACACCGGACTAGTTAATGCCTATTTCGCAGATTATCTGTAACAATAGATCCCCATAACTACATCAATCGATCAATCTCGATCAATCTCTAAAATTTTGTGGTAAGCTTTAAAATTAAAATGTGTTTACTTGTATTATTTACTTGTATGTAACTTCATTACTTCTTTACGAAAATTGCGAAGCAGGGGTGTCATTAGAGTGTATACAAGGCTAACCATTTTACTGCCGCTACAAATTATTCATGGATAAATAATAATACGATGAAATTGGTATTTACACGGAGCTTTAAGTTACATTAGTGGATATCGATGTCATTTAATAGTAATTCAAAGAAAAATGCAGTACGCGAGCATATTCCCTTCCTAAAAAATGCTATGATAAGTTTACATGTATCTACACTGATGATTCCAACCGGAACAAAAGGTATCTTATAGGATTATATAAAAAAGCACTAAGCAGAAATGGCATTCATACACTGCGTATAAATATGAAAATCGGTAATCTGTTCGGACTTCTTTAAAGGTAATAATTAACATAGGTAAGTACTGCTTATATACCTCAAAAGTATAAGGCATCCTCAAAAGCCACTGAATGTTATATTACTGTGGAACCGAAGCCATATAAATATAATGAGGAAGCCGTTTTCTTGCACAATCCATGAGAACAATTACATTACAAGTATAGGCAAATACACATAAAATCCAACAAACTCTACATTTAATCAGCCAGCAATGTGGACTCTGCAACGCAGAAATTAGCATTCGGCGCATTCTGGCAGAAGAACATCGATCCTTCCCTTAAACTCAACTGAGTCCAATATCATTAATATGCTGTATCTTAAGAATAACTAAATGCATAAATAAACACCGGTTCATGAATGCTTTACTTATCTTCAGCGCTACTAAGTACTGCAAATTTGTTATTTATGAATGCAATCAGCTTTGCTGTTAATCAAGCCAAATGTAGATAGCGTATTTCTCTGGAGCAGCGATAAATTATGATAATAACAAAATTAAAAATGGCAACATACCCGAACCAGTCTACTTCTCATGGGAAACCAGCCAGGTTTCATAATTATGTTTACACCATCTATACGCAACGCTTTTCACTTCCGTTTCCCTTGCAACCCGCCGAGTTAACCAAGTGCACTTTTATAACCGAGCTCAGCTCGTGGCATAAAACGTTTGAGCGCTCATTGCATTTTAATGGCGTTTTAAAGCGCTGATCTTCCATGACAGCGAGCAGCGGGTCGAAGGGGGAAGTTGGATTGGCAGCGGGTGGCAAGTCGATTTAGATATGCTGCCATGCAACGCCCACATGGAGCTTCATGTAAACCGCGCACACTGAGCGAAAAGTTGGCAAGTCCCCATTTAGGGGATGAAGTGTAATCAAGAGTGGCTTGTGTAAGCAACTTCAAGATGCGACTCTAAAGTGTAATTAATATTATAAATTGTTTTTACATTAGCACGTTCAAGCAACAAGTTTAGACAATTGTAGAAAATTATAGTGATGATAATGACTGTGGCCCCAGTATTTGATTTTGATTGCAGTGCACAGTCGTTTTCCTGAGCGGTTGCCACTTTATTGTGCCATCGTCTGTTTATCTCCGTCGCCGCCATTTGCTCTGGCTCTTCCTTGGGCTGCTCACCTAGCCGAGAACTCGGCAAAGGCGGCGGGGATCTTGCCAGCGGGGGGCGGAGGTGCTAAGGATCCAGGAGCCAGCAGTCAGGAGCCAGGACGAGACACAGGCACTGGCTTTGCCGCTCTGTGTGTGGCATGTCAGTCAGCACTTACACTAATTTCCAGTTATTTGCATGCGAAATTACCCGGCACCGACAGAAGCAACGGCAATGGAAACAGGAGCAACTCGAACCAACACCATCGCAAACAAGCCTAGCCGACACCAAAAACCATGGCAGTTCCTCCTTGCTCTGTATACACAGGGAGAAACCGATGGGGCTCTTAAAAACTAAACTAAGATAATGGTTTTTGCTAAGAATGAAAAGGATTCCCGGTTAAACACTCCCAATGGACAACGTTGCGTATGAGTAATTTACGTCTTATGAGCCCTAATACGAGAATATATTATTCTTATGGAAAGTAGCTAAGCCTACTTTTTGTAGCATTTAACACCTTTCTTGTTAGGCACAATGTTTTGCAGTGCACTGTGTGTCCATCAGCCAATTAAAAGGAGAAAATTATGTTAATTTTGAGGGCCCTCGACTGCAATGTCATTTATCATCTGGCCCCGATTTCCAGTTAAGAGCCCAAAGAGCTCATTACACCTCCCACCCAGAGTGGAGCCCCGAAATCCACCTCTGTTCCTTTACTGCCAACTTAATGCCCGTGATTGGCATTTGCCACTACGCCTACGCCTGACGGCAATTTTTATTCATTTGCCGTGCAGCAGGAGCGAGAAAATATTGTGTGGGCGTGAGCACATGTACAGCTTACATGCAACACTCACCTACTCAGGAACACCCACACACTGAAGCGGCGTCCTCAGCGAGGACATCAATAATTTATATAGGAATTTGATAAATTATTTCGTACGACAGTCCGCTGCTGCCGCAACTAAATAAGTTAATTTGTCATGGGCAAGCCCAACAAAAATTTGTTCAGACATGTAAATTGTCTCGATGGGGCTTTGGCTTCAGCTTTTGGTTGAGCCCTGATAGGGAATACATAATAAATTTGTTATTAATGGTGTAGACAAGTGTACATGTGGATAATCTTCTGGTGCTCCTTCTGCATGTTGTGTTGGTAATGAAATATGATCCTACTCCTCTGTTACATGATCGTAGCTTTCTATAACCAATCAAAACTTAACAGAACTTAAAGATTAGCAAATACAGAAGAGATATGAAAGCCATAAATACATGATACTTGCAGATAGCTGCATTCAAAATGTAATAAAGCCAGCTAGCACCTTTAGTTCTTCCATACACTTCTTCCACTCACTCTTCAGAGCAATCTGATATACTTTGCAAAGGTTAGGCGTAACGGACTTCCACCACTTAATCTCTCGGGCGGTTCAATTGCAGGTTAAACAACTCAATTTGCCCCGTGGAAGCTATCAAGTATGAACAGGCGATTGCACGAGCCATAGTGAGCCCGTGGCCAAACAAAGGATATGGGCTCTAGACACAGGACAATCAATGCAATAGCACTAACAAAAACAGCAACAGCAAGGGCGACAAACTGAAAAACAACAATTTAATTAAAAATTTATAAGCGTGTCGTTGTCTTGGCAAACAAGCAGCCAAACAAAGCAACAAACTGTTGCTGCGACACCCACATAAAGGCGAGCACCTACACAATCGCAGAAAGGGTGGGCGAAAGGCCAGCGGAAGCGGAGCTCTGGAGCGCCCCCTGGCGGTGGAAAGCGACAGCACACATGAGCAAACCGGAAATGGCCTGATGCCATTGTTCTTGCCATCTGCCGCCATTTTCCGCCCCTTCTCCTTGTCATTTGGACTCGGCTCATTTGCTTTCGAGTTCCTGGCTTTGTTTATACTTCTGCGGGCTAATTACTGGAACTGAAGCTCCACTCTGAGCACCCATTGAGCTTAATTAGCTCGAAAAAGTTTTTCAGCCGCAGCGACATAATTGAAATGTTTACGTTTTGTTTTGTAGTTGGTTTCCCCGCTGGTGTTTGCTTTGCGTTTGCTACAAAAAAGTTTTGCGCTCCTCATTCATTTCAATTAAATCGCACTTTCGTTAGATCATAATTCTATGCATATTTCGTAAGTAGCTCCAACTTCCGCTTGGCCTTGGGCTTTGTTGTGGTTATCCTTTATGCTCATTATAAAAGCGAGGATTTTCCCTAAGCCAGTCGACGTTGTCTGTGTGCGTGAGTTCTGTTCTGGCTGGTCATAATCTTAGCGTATAGAACTCTCCTGAGTTGGCTATTTATAAGTGAAGCTTGGCTCGACCTTTATAGGTAATGTTCGACTTCAATAACCGACGGTGGTGCGGTGATTGATGGAAAACGCGTACTTAGGGCCTATATTCTATGCTAAGGCCTTTAAATAGAGTAAAGTACGATGATTTACCATATACTTGCTAAATGTTGCAAAAAAATTAAGTAATAAAAGCATTTTTAAGTTGGAATTAAATTAATTCACCGTTTAAGTAGTATGGCAAAATATCTTTAAATTTGCCAAAACAGAATTTCCAACAGAACTCACTTTCTTCTCCTTCAGCTCATTTTATTCAACATGCGCCACTTATTTATCTCCACCCACTTTATCACCACCCCCATAATTTTCGGTGTAGCGCTCTGAGTAGCATATTTGTTGGCGCCCGCTGTGGGGCGGAAAAAATGCGGGGTTTACATTTCAATATCAGGAGCGTCTGTAAGACTCTTAAAAGCTTTGCCAATTGTTGAATATTTTACAGTTTTTTATTAGCTTTGTGTGTTTACCAATTGTCGGAAAAGGTTGTTCTGCTTGTTTGTGTACATATACCCGTATATGGTATATATCCGAACAGTTCATTCGGGGCATTAAGTGTGCCGCCGATTGCTCGCCTTTTTCGCTGACGTTAATTTTTTTGTGATAATTTCTCATTAAAAGGAACGCAGAGAGTTGCGTTTATAATATTTTTGTTTTTTTTTTTCTGCCACCTGGCCCCGTTTTTAATGGACACGGACCGTTGATTTTAACGTCTCGTGCCAGTTGGCGTTGTTGTTTTTGCTCGGCCGGGCTTTCTTCCTTTTTTTCACAAATTAGTCGCACGAACATTTTGCCGCTTTGCTGCCGCTGCTCTGGAAAATTGTTTGCAACATGCAAAGCCTCGGCCACAAAATAGGCCGAAAGAAAGCCCGTAGCCAAACCCAGACCCTCGGCAGACCTCGATGCTTTCGAGTGAAACAAATATGCAAGCGGGTCGC